GTGTATAAGAGACAGGAACAACACAGTACAAAACAAAAAAAAAAAGTTGTAGAATAAGGATCAGCTACTGTAAAAATGAGAACATATACACTTCCATAAGAGGCAATTTATCCCTAGATTCAGAACTACAGATACTGATTATCAAGATGTTCTTATACTCTACTCACTGCTGCTTTCCAAATTTTCAATGATTTTTATTTTTGGCATTAAAACTTAAAAACTGAGCAGCTTAGTTTTGTCAAACAACATACAATATAAAAAAAAAAAAAAACAAACAACAAAAAAAACCAACAAACCAAACCTCTGGAAGACCCATTTGACCTGACTATTGGTGAATATCCTGTGATGGAAGGAATTACATTAGAATATTATTTTCCCATTTCATACACAGTATAGCACATTGTGACAGGTGAGCATCTTCGGTGCACAAGCTGAAGCATATGCTGAGGCTGAAGATTTGGAAAACAGTCTAAGTATAAGCATTCTCCCTGCAAGCAACAGATCAGTATTCTTAGTTAAAAAGGGACAGCATCAAAACTAAAATTTTGAGTCGCCCTCAAATACCAGAAAAAAAACCCCAACAAAACAAATGGACCTCAAGCTAGTGGAAGTTCTTACATAAGGCAGTCAAATTTACAACCAGTGTATACATTCACTAAGGAATTACATTTTTTTGGTAAAACCAACAATCCAACACACTGCAGAGTCTGAATGTGAAATATAGGCACAAAATAGATTCTCTACTTTTTTTTCAGTGTGGAAAACATAGCTATTTAACAATGTAATAAGAAAATCTACTATCAGGTGAGCAAAAATTTGTAACAATCTGAATAAAACAAAGTACTGTATAAAGGTGCAATATTGAGCAGATTTGATTTTGGTTTAAACATACGAGTAAATCATGGAACCTTTCTCTTCTTATATATAAAGTATTTCACCTTAACAATATCATTCTAGTTCTTCCCAGTTGTCAGTAAGGTTACCTTTGCTTTGACGTCTAATACTAACCAGCTTTCCAGCTGATTTGATACTCCACCTGGAACTGTTTCCTGAGCTGGCCAGGTTTGTATATTTTGTGGAGCCTTTGGTTTCATCTTCCCAGCCTGACCAGGCTGTATAGTCACTTAAAGTAGTTGCTGCATCACTGGTAGAGTCAGCAGCAGTAATCTGCGGCGGTTCCCATCCCTCAATCTCATCTGGTTTCCTAGACTGGACATTCTGCTTTATCACCAAACTGTCCCAAAAACCTGGCTTCTTTTCAGACTTCATCTCTTCCTTTAGCTTTAGGTTTGTTCTAGAAAATAACAGTGATGAGGTGATTAATTTCTTCATTTAACAATGCATGTAATAGTTACTAATAAACATTCAATTAATTTATCACATTTATAGTAAGGAATGCTAATTAGTCATCAGCCTACAGCAGCACATCTATTACTACCAACTTCAGGAAAAACACACTTGTACACACGTAAACCTAAACACAGTGGAATCCTGCTGTGATAAATCAGAAGTGGACTACGTATGGCCATTGCCTATTATTAAAGAACTTGCGCACTACCCCACACCACCCCCAGTGAATGACATAGAACTGCCTTTGGAAATGTATGAAGTATTTTAGAACAACTTAGGACTTTAACCAAAAACAAAAAAACAAAAAAACAAAAAAACACCCACAAAAACAACAACAACAACAAAAACACAGAAAACCCAGAGGTAGGACAGTAGAAGAAATATGAAAATGTTTTGTCTACCAACAGCTTTAACAATCACTCACTCCGTGAGTTTCATATACTTGTTATCACCTTTCCAGTTAAAGCTTATACCCAAAAATGTACGACGTACATACTACTAGGACTTTAAAAGATACCAGCATTTTTTTTTGATAAAGATCTGCACAATATTCTGAAAAACAGCTGTTCTGTATTTCTGGTAAGAACTCTCAAAATTCCCCTAGCAAAACCAAGACAAGACAACCTCTGCTGTAATTTCTCTCTCAAAGAGACATTTGAAAGGCTACTCATATTTCTTATCCCATTAAGAACCGTCAACCAATATTTTTCATATTTGCAGTGCAGAGTATTTAAAATACAGAATGTCAAATGTTTATAAGTTTATATACAGGGTTATGTATGTAATCAAATAATGAACCCCCAGAAAAGGCTGAATACCAGTGGTGAAACACACAAGATCCAGGGTTCATTGAGCTAAGTAGCAAGTTGAAAACATTATCTCCTAGTAGCATACAAACTCCCTAGGCACAAATAAAGCCACCATTGAAGTTTAAAGTATTTCTATTAAAAAAGCTTTCTTCCATTAATGAAAGCTTGACACCATCATATTTAAATAGAAGCAAATGAACCAATACCTTTAAAATTACTTTTCCTTTACTGAATTTTGAATGTATAATTATTCAGAATTTTTGTCTTGCTAAAGCCAATCACAGACTCTGAACACTCTTCTCATATTTTGTGAGTTGCATTTTTCTTTAAAAGTAAAGTACAAAATTGTGGTATACAGTTATAGGAAAATACCCCCAAACTTAAAATACAGGCAGTTTTCTCAGTAATGTTAAAATAGCTTTCCAAAGCTGTGCTAACTCCATTTTCAGACTTCTGATCTCTTCACTGGGTTACTTGACTCTTATATTCAGCATCAATTGCAAAGGATCCTTAAAGCAACCTAGCATCTTAACACCCATAACATTGTACAGGGACAGTTGTTGGCAGCTTCTGGGAAATTTTATTGAACAGGATCGAATGGAAATGAAAATATATGTATTTATATTTTAAGTTGTTGAAATATATATATATATATATATATATATATATATATATATATATATATA